CTTGCTGGAAATTTCGAATGAATTTCTGCGAGTCTCGTATGGGCCTAAAATAGTCTACGAATTCAATTTTATTAACGCCTTCAATTCATTATTAGATCAACTTCTTACGGTAGAATAACTTACGGGTTGTATTGTTAAATTAAAAAGTAAGAAGGCGCCTAGAGTAGACAGCATTATATGTGAATTTTACAAAGCCCTCTCGGACGAATGGTTGTCTTACCATCTAGAACTGTTCAACAGGATCTTAGAAACTGAAGAACTCCCAAGTTCGTGGTTAAGGGCCACCCTCCGTATGCTATTCAAAAAAGGAAATGCGGCCGACCTGATAAACTATCGTGGAATTCCACTTGTCAACGACTCGAAGCTGTTTACGGAAATCCTAAACAGTAGATTAGTTAATTGGGCCACAGGAGCTGATCTTTTGCCCGAAGAATAGGCTGGGGTTAGAAAAGGTAGAGGAGTAATGGATAACCTTCATATGTCAGTAATGTCAGTAATGGATAACTCTTCAACCTGCGATCCACCTTGGATTATGTCAAAATGGAGGCAAAGCGTACGTTCTTTTCGTAGACTTCAGGCGTGTGTTCGACTCCATGCCTCAACTGAAACTCTGAGAAAAATTGTATCGACTGGGTGTTAGCACAAAAATGATTAGAATTCTGAAAAACTTTGTAAACTAATTCTGGGTTTAACGTTAACCCAGGGCAAGTGTCAACGCAAAAATATTAATCGCAACAAGGGGGAGGGTAAGCAAATAAAGGGGAGACGGGATTCAATGCAAAAGAATATGATATAATTAAGTGATAGAAAAGAATACAAGGCGCGAAAAGAAACCAAAAGATAACAAAACTCAATAGATCATAACTCAAAATATAATACACTAGAAATACGCAATGAGCGACTAGGCAAAATCAAAATAATAACAGACAAGGCTCATGCAGGAGCACGCAGTGTCGCAATCGGGGTTTCAAATGGGTCGCAGGAGGAGTAGTCAGTGGAGGATGGACGTTTTAGTGGACAAGGGATCATGAGGGAAAGGAGGACTCACTAGCATTAAATATCTTTGCAAAATAATAATTGGGTGCCAGCTACAGTTACGGTGTAGCACCGTCGAGTAAATGTCCTTGACTCTACTTAGAGGCACAGCTAGCAGGGGGGAGAAGGGGGTATTTCAGGGAGAAGGTTCCCGAGCGCAACAGCTTCTTAATCATTACCTCAGACTTAGAGAAAACGAACGGTGGAAGCAAAAGGATACAAGGAGGGGGGGGGGTTAGCTGAAAAGAGCGCAAAATATTATCTCTAATACGCACGCAATACACCCTTCGGCCTCGCGCTAGTGACAGAAAACCGGTCTCAAATTCAAAAGTACTCAACAGAAAATGCTGGCCCTCGTGGAATGGCGCGCTAATATTCAGAAGGGATCCACAACTCGAAAGGACGCAAGAGAAAAAGGGTATGGGAGAATGGCAAAGAAGGGGACTCAATCAATCTATGACGTACTCATTCAAACGATCTGCAATATAATAATCCACAGTAATCCAATTCGCACTCTTCTCACTCATTCTTAACCGCACTCGCTTGCTAAGATATCCTAGCTCGAAGTGGTGCCCTCTTCGTTTCTGGTCTTCAGTATTTCCTCGGTGGATCTCCAGGGACTGGCTGCACCGCTGGCCCAAGAGGGCTACGTGTTTTGGCATTAGTCCGCAGTTCGGGCATGGTGGGTCTCTGGTGACTATTGGGCATGGTCCTGGCGGGCCTCCTCTCTGGGCATGCTGGAGAATTATCTGCGCCCCGGGTAATATGGCGGCCTCCATGGCCTATCAAAATTCTCCTGGATGCATCCGCGGAGTTCGG